TACAACTTAACTTCTATAATATAATACACATATTTTGGTTACAGGTATTTAACAGAGCAATTAAATCCTTATTTCCACTTCTGTTCTAAAATCCGCCTGCCCGCAGTGAGTGGGAACTGCTGCAGATCATTAAACACTCATTTATCAATGTCTCTCACCAGGCAACACAATGCAGCAGAACAGCACAGGGAAACCATCCCGAACCCCAGCAACAGCGGCTAATTAGCATAGCCTACCACTAAACCTACACCATATGATTGGAACTGTTAGTTGGAATGCTAGCCAATCAAACTAGGTTATGCAAATAGCCTATTTTAGTTGCCAGGGTAGGGCTACTTCCAATTGTCCAATAGGAAAACAAGCAATAAACAAGAAATGAAATTGAGCTTTGTCACATTTTCAAGTTGCTGTTAACACTTTCAGGTTTAGAGCAAAATTAACAGCAACTGTAAAGGATTAGAATCATATTCTGCTTTCCAATCCAAAAGAAATCCAATGATAACACACAGTATACATACGGTTAAAGTCATGCATTTAATTTTAACTTTTTACTATATAGATATGTTTTTCTAACAGCTGCAATCAACATTTCAACTTTCTCCCCCACCGACTCAAAAGCAACGTTCTGTAATGTCTTTCTATAGATTCTCAAACATTACATTATAGAAAAATCCTATAAAGCATTTTTATTCTACTATGAAAAGACTAAAAAGTGAGCGTAACAGAACATCCACTGGGAGTCTCAAACAAGCTTTATTAGATTGAAGAGAAATTAACATTTTGGTTTTTATTATGACATATGTTATACAACTTCAAAAATAATTGAAAAATAGTAAGACCCAAATTAAGTATTAACCAATAGGCTTAAAATATACAAATTGAACCCACATAATAATACTCATCTCTTGGAATCAAATTAAACTAAGATATAGGTATAATATAAGCATATTATATTCATATGTGAAATTTCTAATAAAACAAAAAAACTACTCTGTCAGTACATACTAACAGCTACAAAAATAGTTTTAAGGAACATCAGTGTTCCGACAATTCTTAGTAGTTGAGAGAATTTCTTTAATCTCACATTTTCAGATAAATGCTTTGAAACATGTCAAAGAGACACAGTTCCCATTTGTGCCTTATAATTGTATCTTTATAAAAGACACAATTTTATTTTAAAATAGATCGTGTCCCACCTATCCTAGCAATTATCTCCTAAATGAAGTACAGATTCAACCCACACCAAGAAGTTAGTGATTTTTAAATATATTTTCCATCGAACGTCTGTAAATGTCTCCAGAAAAACTTCTAGCACTTGTAAACTATACTGAATTAAGACACAGAGCAGATTTGGGCATCAGATTCAAAGAAAACAGCATGTTGGTCCTATTTCTATCGCTGCCAATTATCTTCCACCTTAAGAAAACTGAAGCCACTTTTCCATCAGCTCCAAGCACCCACTACCCAACACTTGTCTCCTAATTTCTTCTCATCGTCTCTCTACTTAGGGATTCTAGATGAAAACCACTTAAAGTCCAATGAAATCAAACTAGAGTCAGCTTCTTAGAAGGAGCAAAGGGATCAATAACTGAACTTTAAAGATAAAAACACAACTTTAAATATCATCTAATAGTAACCCCTCATTCTACAAACCAAAATAAACAAAACCCCACATTTAGAAAAGCAGCATATAAGATAATAATCCTATAGATAAAATCTAAGCCCTCCCAAACTATCTTCAAGAGTATTATGAATAATCAATATATCAGTCAGGTATCAGCAAGTCTCTTGGTTTGTTTTAATATGAACATATACTAGAATATAAGCATTTTTTAAAAGATTAGCTCAAGATCATTCTCCTTGTCATCATCCACAGCATCTACTAATCAAGGCTTCAGGAAGGCTTGAAAATCACCTCTAACCCAAAGCATTTAACCCATCCCCTGAAAGACTTAATTTATATCATTTGGTATGTTTCTGAACTACTTGGAAAACTACACAAGCCCCTTTTAATTCCTAAGGATAAAGGCAAAAAGAGAAATAAAAGGAAAAGATTTTTTAAGCCAATTTTTTTTCACACTTTTGCTCATAAACCTTTCATATTGTGGTTAATTC